CTGGCTGTGGGACATGGCTGACTGGGGCCTGGCTGTGGGACATGGCTGACTGGGGTCTGGCTGTGGGACATGGCTGACTGGGGTCTGGCTGTGGGGCCGTGCTGTTCCCTGTCATTGGCAGTCTGGGCACCCTGTGGGTCAGCGGGAGCAGGCAAGTGTGGGTCTGGGGGTTATCTGAAGGCCCCACCCAGGCCAGGCAAACGCTCTCTGTGAACCCCATAAGATGGCCCCATTCCTTCTTGACTGGAGACCATAGGGTCTTCCTGGAGCCCGCTGCTGTCCCTGGTCCTGAAGCACCAGTGTCAGGACACAGGGTTGCTTGCAGACCTGGTGGGCAGGGTCTGTTTGCCCTGTCCAGCAGCCACACTCCCGAGCTGTGGAGTCCAGTCCCTCCAGGCAGGGAACCCCCTGGTTCCATCGCCTCCCGTCACGGTGGAACCATCTAGGCTGAGTAGTGGGATGGCAACGTCTCCAGAGGAAGATGGGTGCCATGGTCAGAGCCCGGGTGTAGGAGACTGTGGTGGCATGTGGGTGTCAGTGCTGTTCCCTGCCAGCCCCACAGGAAGGCCTAGACAGGAGCCCTGTGCTGCCCGCTGACAGTGGGTGGGCATCCTGGCCTACAAACGCAGCTCGAGGGCACAGTGGGCTCTGCTGATGGCTTCCTCTCTTGCTTACCTTCCATGCTCTCAGATCAGGTACATGCAGGTAAGTGGCGGGTAAGGGGAGGCAGGCGGCAGTCTCCTGGGAGCCCCTGCCAGGCAGATGCTGTTGGGCACACGTGGCCTTAATGAGTCCCGGACCTCGGTACTTTCCATGAAGCCAAGTCACAGTGGACTCTCACCTCCCCCTGTGCCCGGTGTACGCATTGCTTTGGGTGCTGCACCCTGCAGTGTGGGGGGACCTCGAGGGTTCCTTGGAGGTCAGGGGAGGCATTTTTGCCTACCTGAGTGCAGATGGCCAGGCACAAGCCACAGCACCATGTCTCCAGGAACTTCCAGGCAGATATGGCTCCTTAGGCCTTAAAAGAACCTAGAGAGCGTGGTGGCCCCACAGTGGCCCTGGCTGCTGCCTCACCCCACCTGTGACCAGGCAGTGTCCCGGGCAGGGCTGTCTCCATGTTTTCCAGGGGGCAGGGCTGGGCCCTGACGCAAAGGTGTGGTCCCTGGTGACCCTGCCAATGGGCTGTCAGGTCAGGCTCCCTGATTGGAGAACAGTGGGCACCCAGGGGAGGCCAGCCCGGGGGGCAGTTGGTACTGGGAAGCTGGCTCAGTGGCTGAGGTCCCAGGGACGAGCTCAGTGTCCTGTGGACAGGCAGGCGCAGCAGGGACCTGGCGTGCATCTCCTGTGTGTGTGCAGAGGCCCCACTGAGGCCGAGGCCCTGCTGGTGGAGGTCCAGGCTCAGGAGCAGAGGTTGGGGTCTGGGAGCCTCTGCACATTGCTTGGCGCTGACCCTCGTCACCCTTTTTGTCCCTGTGCCTCACTTCACAACAAGAAGAGTTTAAGCGCCCTCTGCCTTAAACTTTATACTTGCTGACCTCGTGGCCAGACCCGAGCAGATGTCCCCCTGTGGTGTGAGACAGGTGGCCTAGGGCCGCACTGTGCAGGTGCACAACCTGTGGGTGGCTGCGCGGGCCCCTGGCTCACATCTGTGTCCCCTCCAGAAAATGGGCATGACGGAGGATGACAAGAGGAGCTGTTGCCTGCTGGAGATCCACGAGACCGAGGCCAAGTACTGCCGGACCCTGGAGGACATCGAGAAGGTGGGCCCTGCCCTGGCCACTGGGTGACAGCAGTGTTCTAGGTCCCGAGGTGGGGAAGGGCCAGCTGTTATAGGATGGTGAGGGCTGAGCCCCCTCTGCTTTGCCATCAGGTGTCCCTGCCCCAGAGGAAGGCTGTCTTGCCTCCCCTGTCCCCTCTTCACCCTGTCCCGCGCCGTCCGTCTTTCAGCTTGACCTGGGCATGGTGGTGACTTACGGCCTGCATGTGCTGAGCACCCTCTGCGCTCTCTCACCAGGGTGCCGTCCGAAGGCTCCTTGGCCTCCCCCTCTGCCTTGGGAGGCAGAAGCTCCACCCCGTGTGGCCAGGAGCACCCTGCACTGGAGCGTGGTGGGCCTTGATGTGGGCACAGACCCTGAGCCTGCCTGAGCAGCCGGTCACTGTCCACTGTGGCCTCCTGGTGGTGCCCAGTGTCCTGGTTCAGGGCATTTCCCTGACATGCAACTGCCCATCTGCCCAAGCCATGTGTGAAGGCCACCCTTTATTGTTGCCACTGGGACTTGCCCAGGGGCCTTAGCCACTGAGCCACGTCCCCCGCCCTTCTTTATTGCTTTTTTGTGTGCTGGGGATCGAATCCATGGCCTTGTACATGCGAGGCAAGGCTCTGCCCGCTGAGCTGTGTCCCCCGCCCCCAGCCCTTCTTTATATTTTATCTAGAGACGGGCCTCACAGAGTTTTGTAGGCCTGGCCAATTGCTGAGGCTGCCTTTGAACTCACGATACTCCTTCCTCAGCCTCCCGAGCTGCTGGGATGCAGGCGTGGCCACCGTGCCCGGCAAGACAAACCTTTTTACACTTGGGTCCCCTGAGCTGTTCTCTGCTTGTGGTTCAAGTCCAGTGCAGCTGTGACGTGGACACCTGAATGGGAAGTGCTGGGTGCCCCCTTGACCCCAGGTCGGCCCTGCTCTAGCCTCCAAGGGGGCTCTGCTCGGGCCAAGAGCGTTGGTGTTTGGACCGTGGCCCCATCCTGCCCCCTGCCTGCTGTCCCTGTGCGGCTCTCACCGTGCACTGTCCCCAGAGCACTGAGCACCTCTCAAGTGGATGCAACCTGGACAGGGGCAGTGTCCTTCAGATGATTGAGGCCTGGGCAGTGGCAGTGTCCTCCAGGTAGTTGAGGCCTGGATAGTGGTGATGTCCTCGAGGCGTCAATGACCTGGACAGTGGTGTTGTCCTCCAGGTGGTGGTGGCCTGGACAGGGTGGTGTCCTCTGGGTGGACAGGGCAGTGTGTTCCAGGTGGTTGACAGTGGCGGTGTCCTCCAGGCAGCAGTGGTCTTGACAGGGGCAGTGTCCTCTGGGTGATGGTGGCCTGGACAGAGGCAGTGTCCTCTGTGCAGCAGTGTCCTGGACGGGGGCAGTGTCCTCCGGGAAGCAGTGGCCTGGACAGGATGGTGTCCTCTGGGCGGTGGTGGCCTGGACAGGGCAGTGTCCTCCGGGCAGCAGTGGCCTGGACAGGGGCAGTGTCCTCTGGGCAGCGGTGGCCTGGACAGGGGCGGTGTCATCTGGGTGGCAATGGCCTGGACAGGGCAGTGTCCTCCGGGCAGCAGTGGCCTGGACAGAGTGGTGTCCTCTGGGCAGCAGTGGCCTGGACAGTGGCCTGGATAGGGTCTTCTGGGTGGTGGTGGCCTGGACGGGTGGTGTACTCCGGGCTGGGGCTCAGCGTGGATGCCTCTCCTGCAGAACTATATGGGCCCGCTGCGGCTGGTGCTGAGCCCTGTGGACATGGCAGCCGTCTTCATCAACCTGGAGGTGAGGGCCCCGGCGGAGCTTACTCCTGGGCAGTGGCAGTGTCCTGGCTGCTGGGAGTCCTTTGGGACCAGGGGGCCACGAGGACCTGACAGGGAAGCTGCCCTGCCTGCACCGTCCCCTCTGGCACCAGAGCTATTCTGGGTGGCCACTGAGTGTCCCTGGGGCTGAAGTGGGCAGGTGGTGACCCCTGTGCCGTGGACGGGCTTAGGTGGGCTCTGCTCCTCCCTGTGCCTTGCTATGGAACCTTCTAGCAAGTGGCAGCGATTGGTGGGGTGGGGTGCACAACTCTCGCGGTCTCAGGCGTTGAGGCCTGCAGCCTGGTGGCCCCTTGAGCACTGACTGCCCCCCAGGACCTGATGAAGGTGCACCACAGCCTCCTGAGGGCCATCGACGTGTCCATGATGGCCGGGGGCAGCACACTGGCCAAGGTCTTCCTCGAGTTCAAGGAAAGGTGAGTGCCCTCCCCATCTGCTCCTCAGGACAGACAGCGGAGGGGGAGAGTCCTCCTGGGTGGGAATTGTGGGGCCTGGTGTCCTGAGACAGGTGGCCGCTGTTCTCCAGGCCTCTGTGCCCTCTTATAAACAGATTTTTAAATTTTTTATTTTTATTTTTGGTACCAGGGGCCTTAACCACTGAGCCCGTCCCCAGCCCTTTTATATTTTATCTAGAGACAGGGCCTCACTGTGTTGCTTAGGGCCTCACTGAGTTGCTGAGGCTGGCTTTGAACTCGTGATCCTCCTGCCTCAGCCTCCTGCTGGGATCTCAGGTGTGGGCCCCCTTCCCATCATGGCCTGGGCATGGGGTGTGGTCTAGATGGGGCCTCTCGGGCTCTGGCAGTCCCTTCTGCTTCTCGCTTATCGGGGTCTTGGTGAGTGACATTCACGCCGCTGGCCGTGCCGCAGGCCTCTTGCTTGTCCTGGAGACTTGGGCATCCAGAGTAGTTAACCCTGCCCTTATTGCTGTCCACCTAGCACAAGGTGGACAGGCCCTGCTGCTTCTGGTGACAGGAGCCCTGGGCCTGACCTGGTAGGTCTGAGTGAGGGGCTCTGGGGACACGAGCACAGACCACGGGACGGGGTCATGGCTGAGGCCTCGGGTTGTGGGGTCGCAGGGCTGAGGCCACTTCCCCATGCTGCTGATAGCCCGTGCCTCGGTCTTGACTCCCTCACCTGTGAATTGGGGACAAGAGTGACCCCTGGGTGGGGCAGCCCCAGGGGGTGAGCCAGGATGACCCTGCTTCCCCACAGCTGGTCCCCACCATTGGAAGGCCACTGTGGCCAACAGGAGGGGACATCAGTCTCCGCAGACCAGGCAGGGGCAGTGGGACATTCAGGGGCAGGTCTCAGCCGCTGGCCACAGCACCGTGGCTCCACATCTGCGGCTCTCTGAACAGAGGTCCGTGGTGCCCAGGCCAGTTGTGGGATTGGTCTGAAGCCTGTGACGGCCCTTCTTTCCCGAGGGCTTGGCACAGGGAGTTGGGCCTAGACGCAGACAGGGCCGCCTCATCAGTCCCACCACTGCCCGCTCAGGTGCCCCGGGGCCCCATGCACAGTGAGTGTCACAGATGGGCAGTCATGGCCACCTGAGGCAGCCCTGGGGGCAGGCGGCCTCCCAGAGCTCCTCCTTCCCCTGCTCCAAGCCCCTCGGTTTGTGCCCTGTTGACAGAGGTGGTGCAGAGCTGCCTGCTATCCCCAGACGTCCTTCTAGGGCTCAGCAAGGGGCAGCGTGGAATTCTGGAATCTTCTAGTAGGTGTGAAGAGTGGTCGAGCTGGAAACCTCAGCTTCTCCCTTCTGAGGCTGGGTGTCCAGTTCCTTACAGAGGGGTCACTGACAGGTGAGGCCTGCGGTCTGCCCTCACCCCCACCACGCAGGCTGTGAGTCAGCCCCTGGCCAAGGCCACACCAGCAGACAGGTGCATCTTCTGCTCAGGACCTTGCCTGTGAGGCTCCCACCTCCTGGGGCATGATGGCACCCCACCCTCGAGCTGCTGTGGGAGCCTGTGCTCCTCCCGCGCCCGACCCGGAGCTGTGCAGACAGTGGCCTGCTGCATGGCTTGGCAAGGCGCCCAGGGCTCTTCAGTCATGTCCTCCTGGAGAAGGGGCCTGGCCACGTCGGAGTCCACCACCAGGCCACTGCATCTCCCTCCTGCCACTTTCCTACCCCTTTTAGAGTCAGCCTGCACCCTAACACTCCTTTGCTCACTGATTCCACGGACATTTATCGAGTGCCTGCTGTGTACGGAGTTCAGGGCCAAAGGCAGGACAGGCTCAGGTCCCGCTGCAGCATGGGAGACGAGAACTGTCCTCAGCCGGCTCATGGGGGGCCGTGGTGGAGCCTGGAGCCAGGGCGTGGGGGCCTGGGACCGGACGGGCGCCTGGGCTGCTCCTGCTTGGGGAGAGCAGGTGCCCATGGAAGGCAGGAACAGAGAGCAACGGTGTGGTGGGAGGGGTGCCGGGATCTTCCAGGCCAAGGCAAGAACTTGAATAAGGGAAGGAGGAAGCCACCGCGGGACTTTTGTGGCAAGATCCTGGCAACTCAGCAGGCTGAAGGCTGGAACAGCCTCCCTGTGACCGACGTGTTAGGGAAAATCACAGTCACCCCCTCTTTTTTAAGGTTACACTTCCACTAATGTGGCCTTGGTCCTGAATGAGGCAGATGCCCCTCCTGCCTTCACACGAGCCTGCAGGGGCATCTCCTCTGCAGATGGCCAGAACCTGGGCCCCGGGAAGGGTTGTGTTTTAGGACACCTGGCACCAGGTCCACACTGACCTTGACCTCCGTGGTGGGCTGCTGTGGTGTGCTGTAGTGTGTTGTGCGACCTCGGCCTCTCGGCGCCCAGCTCCCTGCAGGCTGGTGTGGGGAGGCTCCGGGAGAGGCGGTCAGCCAGGCGTGCAGCCCGCGGGGCCTGGGGCCTCGGATCCCTGAGCATTTCTCGAAAGCTAGGACACGTGTCAGCAGGCGTCGCTTGTGCTTGAGCTAGCTCGCCCTGATGTATCCCTCAGTGGGAAATGTCCCCTCTCCCACTGCCTTCCTGCGGACCCGGACCTCCAGGGGTGGGGAGAGCTGGGCATCCTCTGGTCCCAAATGCCCACGGCCCAGGGGCGGGAGGCCTGCGAGGGGACCCATGCCCAGGGCTCCGTCACCTTGGGCCTTGCAGGAGAGCCCACCACCAGGACACTTCCTACCAAGGGCCAACCCACGTTCCAGCGTCAGGCCCGGCCTCCCAGCTGGGCTGCTGTGCCCAGGCTGTTGGCCCTTGGTCAGTTCACAGAGGTGGCCAGGCTGGTGGCCCTTGGTCAGGTCACAGAGGCCTCAGTCCTGCCTGGAGAAGAGGCTCCCTGCCCCCGTCTTGCCAGGTGGAGACAGGAAGGTCTGCGCCCTCAGTGGGGGTCCCGCGAATGTGGCTGCCGCACCTTGTACTCATCCAGTGGTCACCGGGCATGGTTCCTCTCCTGGGGGCTCTGGGTGGTCGGGGGCATGAGCACCTAAAGCAGGAGTGGCAGGCTCTCTGCCCGAGGCCCAGAGGTGCTGGAGTCTGGCTGGCAGAGATGTGGGCACCGGGGCTGCATGTGGCCTGGCTGGGGACAAAGGAGGGGCGTATGGAGGAGACCAGCACAGGGCCCGAGAGCAGAATCAGAATGGGGGAGAGGTGGTGCCTCGGGGGCCAGGGGGGGAGGGCAGGAGGGCAGCGCTGGTCCCTACCAGGGGCCACCTCGGGGTGACCAGGAGCCCCCCTGGGTCTGCCAGTCTCGAGAGGTTGGGCCTCCGGCTCTCTCCAGGCGTGGGGACCCAGAGCAGGATCAGGCCAGGGCCAAGACCTGAGGTGGCACCACAAGTGGCCTCTTGGGCGGGTGCTGGGTGCCCTTATTAGCCAGTGCTTCCCCAGCCCCTCCCAGTGACCCAGGACCCCCCTCACTGGGAGGGGGGAGGCGGGGGAGGGCAGAACCCACCAGGGTCTGTTGGCCTGAGGCCCGGGCCGCGCAGCCTCCCGAGGAAGAAGCGTGTCCTGGGTCGTGGGCGTCCCCACCTGCGTGTACGTGTACTCACGTGCTGACACGCATGTGTCCTGTGTGCCGCCAGGCTCCTCATCTACGGGGATTACTGCAGCCACCTGGAGCGCGCCCAGACCACACTCAGCCAGCTCCTCACCAGCCGCGACGACTTCAGGCAGAAAGTGGAGGTAACAGGCGCCCGGCTGGCCCTGCCCCAGGCCGCAGCTCTCTGGCGAGCACCACAGGCACCAACCTCCCCCTGCCTGGGCAGGGACGCGGCCTGCGTGCGGCTTGCTTGTCCCTCTGTGTTTTGTCGGGTGGGGGTCCTCCAGCCCCATCTGACTCAGCCAGGGCCACGCCCCCGACCCTGGCCTCTGCTGACCCAGGGGGCCCAGGTGGCTCTGCTGGAAGCATGTGGCCTTACATGTTGTCACCAAGGCTTGGAACCTGCCCCTCCCAGGTACTGGTGGGGGGGGCAGCTGTCCCCGGCTGAGGGGCCCCTCTGATCAGCATGGCCATGTTTGCCAAGCCTTGGTTCCAACGCTGGTGGGTAGCCTGGGCCCAAGCCCCAAGTGGGCAACTGGCTTCTCAGAGCTCACGGCAGGGAGCAGGCAGGGGAGGCCCCACCCTCCCTGAAGGTCCTGGCCCTGAGGAAGGGACAGGGGATTGAGGTGAGGGCCTTGAGAACAGCAGGTCACGCGTGTCCCCAGGCACTGTGGGGCCCACCCTGCGCAGCCTGGTTCAGGGCCGCAGCCTGGTTCAGGGCCGCTTCCTGAGGGTGTCCAGGGCTCAGCCTCCGTCCCCAGGCGGTGGCGGGCGGCTCCTCATGGCTGGCTCCCCGCCCAGGAGTGCACGCTGAAGGTCCAGGACGGCAAGTTCAAGCTGCAGGACCTGCTGGTGGTGCCCATGCAGCGGGTGCTCAAGTACCACCTTCTGCTCAAGGTGAGGCCACCCACCTGCCCATGCCCCGAAGTCTCAGGGGCTAGGGGTGGGTGAGGCCCCCCGGGAGCGGGTGGATAAGCGAGGCTGCTCAGCACTCATTAGGAAAGGTCATCCCGGTAAAGACAGGAAGACTGATTAAAGCCTGTACAGAGTCAGAAAAACAGGCCGAGATGGGGAAGCAGCCTTAGTCCAGCAGTAAGAGCTGCCATGATTGATCTCTTAACTAAGTCTGAGCTTCCTGACAGCCATGGTGAAAGTGGAAATAGGAAGGCCTTCAGGAAGCACAGACCTGGAGGGGAGGTGGAGGTGCCTTTGAAGTTCTCCAGGGAGCCAACCCCAGTACATTGCTCTGCGCCACCCTAGTGTTCCTTCCTGCTCTATCCCCTCCCCTTGCCCACAAGGTTTGGGAGTGCCCCTGCTGGGAGCAGGGTGTGCCTGTGGGAGGGGTCTCACTTGTCCATTGGAGGAGGCAGCTGAAGGGCACCTGGACCAACAGGTGGGGCTGGCTTTGTGCTGGGGTTGTCACCCTGGGCCTGGTAGGGGCCAGGCAGGGCCGGGCCCCTGGGTGACCCAGGACCCCCTCACTCCTCCAGGAGCTCCTGAGCCATTCTGCTGACCGGCCCGAGAGGCAGCAGCTCAAAGAAGCCCTGGAAGCCATGCAGGTGGGCAGCGGACGCGGGCAGTGGAGGCGGGCAGCAGAGGCGGGTAGCAGAGGCGGGCAAGGCAGGCTGCACTTTGCCCTGCCTGAGGGCGTTTCCTGGGGGTGACGGGCTAGACCAGCTGGAGGGTAGAGGTGGCACTGGAGGAGGCTGCGCTGGGCTCTACTCCTGACCTCACTTGCCCCCAGTGACTGCAGAGGCCCCTTCCTGCTGTCCCGCCTGCCCGAGGGGCCATCAGCGGCCCCAGGCTCTGTGCTCCACCCTGGATCTCTGTCCTCCAGCCTCCGCACTCTGCCCCCTGTCTGGGCTGCTCCTTTTCTCTTGATGATTCCGAGGACCTGTAGCCAGACATGTCCCCTCCCTGTGGAAATCCAGTGTCCCAGGGGCTTGGCTGTCACCCCCGCCCTGCTCAGGGACCCTCCAGTGCTCCCTCCTGGCCGCTCCGCTCCTCTGCAGGACCCTGGTCCCAATGGGCCGCAGCGTTTGCCACGGAAACCCAAAACCCAAGCCTCTGACCCCACTGTGTCCTCCCAAGCTGGCCTCCTCTTTGTCACCTGGCCACCTCTGGCTCACTCCCAGGCTGCGGCGAGCTCCACATGTCCCCAGGGCTGGCCCTGCTGGGTTCTAGGGCCTGTCCCCGGGCAGCACTCCCACCCTAGAGACCTGTTCTTGCCAGTTCCTCCTCGGCAGGCCTGTGCCGCTCGGCCACCTGTGACTCCAGGCTGGGCACTGTGTCCAGCATGAGGCAGGCCCCCTGGGCGTCTGTTTAAAGAGTGCCTTTCCAGGGCAGGATTGCAGCCTGTCCCCAGGGGCAGCAGGACATGGCTGCTCGGGCTTCATGCTCATGGGTGACAGTGTGTGGGTGTGGGCCTGGGAGTGACCGCAGGGGCCTTGGATTCCATTCCTTCTGGCCCCCTGGGCAGGACCTGCGGCCAGGTCAGTGGGACGGCGTTTCCCTGACAGACGTGGACAGGGGTGAGGTCCCCGTTCTCTGGTGCCGTCGCCCACTGTGAGCCCAGGTGCACATGGTCATGAAAACCTTGGGATGGGCAGTGGGTGCCCGCGAGCCAGGCGTGGCTTGGCAGTGTGTCCCTGGCCAGCGGGCGACTCCAGGTCCCTCAGCAGAGGTTCCTGAAGGCTGTCAGCCCTGCAGAGGGCTCCGTGACCCTGGGCAGGCTTCTGGGCTTCTGAGAGCTGTTGAGATGCACGTGAGGCCCGTGAGTTGGAAGGGCTTGTGAGTGTCTTTCACCCCCTGCTGCAGCGCAGAGATGGCCTGTGTGGCCAGCAGGAGCCCCCCTGTACTCAAGCTTGATTTCCCCAGGGACGGAGCACTCACTCCCTGCAGCCCAGGTGCTCTGCTAGGCTGCTTTGCCCCTGGGGTCCCGGGACTGTTTCCCTGGACATCTCGTCCCAGTCTGAGCCTAGTGGGCTCTGGGCCAGGTGAGCGTGGAGGCCAGAGAACCAGACAGCTCGCAGGCCCCGTCTGGTGAGGGTCTGCCATGGCTGCTCCGAGTCTGTCCCTGCCCTGAGTTCCTTGTCTCTGGGAAATTGTTTCCCTCGTTTTAAAGGCAAGTAGACAAGAAAACAGAACATCCTTTAAGAAGCCATAGGGAGGCTGGAGAGTGGACCACGAGGTCCCCCTGGAGCAAAAAGGGGCAGGAGAGGGGTGGGGACTGAGCCTGGATTTCCACATTTCACCCGCTGGCTGGGCTGCAGGTCAGCACTGCCCCCTAGTGGCCAGCAGGAGGGTTGCAGTGGGGTACACGGGTGCTGGGCTGGAAAGTGGGGACCTCCGGGCCCAGGTAGAAGGAACTTACTGGCAATTCGTTCTACCCAGGCTCCTAGATGACATGCAGGCTTAGGGTGGGTCCAGATCAGGGGCTGCTTGGCGGCCTGTGTGACTTTGAAGGGCGGTGGGACAGGGTGGCAGGGCTCTTCAGGTCACTGTGCTACAGTCCCTGCTGTGTCTGCCCCGTGGGGAGCTGCTCCCCACCCCTTCCTTGTTTGGGGTCCTCCATCCCCACTAGGACCAGGAGAGGGCTTGGTGGGCTGGGCTCTCCTCGTGGACATGGCGCTTCCTGGTTTCAGGACTTGGCCATGTACATAAACGAGGTGAAACGGGACAAGGAGACCTTGAAGAAGATCCGCGAGTTCCAGAGCTCCATAGAGAACCTGGTAAGTGCCGCGGCTCTGCAGTGGGGCCAGGCCTGGCTCGCGTTGGGCACAGAGGGGACGCACACACCCACCCACACAGCCGCTTCTGGGGTTGATGTCCAGCTCCTGCTTCGGCGCACCCTCGTCCCCTTCAGCTGACCCAAGCACCCTGTGCCCTGAGGATGATCCTTTGTGAAGGGGGCAGGCTGTGTGGATTGCCCAGCCCCGTCCCTCCTCCCCAGCTGGACAGAAGTCTCCCTCACATCCAGAAGCAGAAGTGGCTCTGGGAGACCCGGGGCTCCTGGACCATGGCTCCCTGGCTGGCCCTGCAGGGCAATGGACAGGTTCTGTTTGCGATGCCTGCCAGCTATGTTGCTAGGTGCCCCTGGGCACAGGGTCATCCCCACTGAGAACCGCTGGTTTTGATGCAAACATTTTGCCCTCTGGTGATCTTTGCTCTCACAAATGTGGGCAAAGGAGACCCCAGATCCCCAGGCCAGCACCTGGGGCCATATGCCCGTTCTTTACCCACCAGGGTCAGAGGTGCATCCGAGGAGCCCTCTGCAGGCCCAGGGCGGGGGGAGAGCCTGGGCCCGGCCAGTGAAAGCAGAGGGAGTTTCAGGCCGCCTCACGATTCTGAGCCCAAAGACTTGAGGCTGAGCCAAGAGTACCTGTGGGGCTGTGGGTGCCAAGGACCCTGAGCAACCACAGGTGCCCTCCCAACACCACGTGGTTCTGTGATGTGAGGAAAGGAGATTGTTTTGTGTTTTGATTTTTTACGAGTTACGCTTGCACTTTAAATAACGAGAATGGAGCAGTGGGTGCAGCGGCCACTCCCAGGATAGGCCCCATGCCAGCCCGGCCCCTCCTGGGGAAGCAGTTTTCGCTCTTGGCACTCCAGGGTCCCTCGGGCCAGGAGTGGACTCCCTGAGTGTGTGCCCGCCGAGCTCGACAGCACAATGTGTGTCAGACTCTCCAGGGTGCAGGGAGCCCGGGACACTGGAGCTATGCCAGGCCTGTGGGCGTGGCAGCCACACTTGGGCCACTCCATCCTGCGCTCTTCTGGACCTGGTCCTGCCTGCATAGCCTCGTCCCTTGGCCACGGGCCACCTGTCCAGGGAGGTGATCTCTGCCAGCCAAAACAGCAGCAGGGACCGTCCGCAGCAAGCCCAGCTTGAGGCCTCGGAGCCTCTTCCCACAGAGGTGAACTGCTGTGGGACCCCGCACGGCCCCTGTGCCCCCCGTGTGCCCCCGCACGCCTGCCATCTGAGAGGTGCTGCCTGAGAAGAGTCTCGCTGGGTTTCCAGGCGGGCGTCTGGCTTTTCCTTCCAGGCCCTGCTCTGGGTTCACACAGCGGTGGCCTGTGACTGTGACCCAGGCCGTCAATCGCTCTTTGTTCCCGGGCTGAAGGGAGCCCCCAGTGGGGCTGGCGGGAGTGGGGACCCAGCCTCCCTACCTCTGCTTCCAGTCCCCCCCCAGCCCTGGCCCAGAAGTGCCCGGGTGCTGTGGGGAGTGCGGCCCTGGTGTGCCCGCCCCCTGTGTGCTGGGGCGGGCTGTGCCAGCAGGAGTGACCCTCCTGCCACTCTTTCCCAGCAGGTGAAGCTGGAGGAGTACGGGAGGCCAAAGATTGACGGGGAGCTGAAAGTCCGGTCCATAGTCAACCACACCAAGCAAGACAGGTGAGAGGGCGGCCGGCAGTGGCCTCCCCTGACAGCCTGGCGTTCGGGTCCAGCGGGCCCTGCTCCCAGGCGGCCTGAACACGCGGCTTCCTGTGGGAAATGGCCTGTGGCCGGTTTGCCGCACTCAGCTTTAATTGCTTCCTTCCTTCTCCACACTAACGTGGGGCCACGTCAGCCAGTGCCCTGGGGCTGCCCTGCCCATGGCGGGCACTGGGCTAATGGCCAAAGGCGGGGTGGGGCCCTACCCTGCGAGCTCACGCTCTCTAGGGAGCCAGGGCAGCCCGGCTGCACATGCCTATGCCAAGCAGCTGCTGGGTGGTTGGCCATGGTGGGAAGGTGGGCCAGGGCCCTCGAGCCTCTTCCTCCATGCCCACCTGCTGTATGCGAGGGCCGGTCACTGCAGGTTCAGGAGGAAGGGCTAGGTGCAGCCCTGGGTGTGGAGCAGGGCCCTGACCACAGGCTGGCATGTGCCAGGTGGGCTGGTAGAGGGCAGGGCTCACCCCTGGGCGGCAGCCGCGTGTGCTGAGGGAAGAGGCTGCTCTGAGGCCCTCAGACCAGCTCACAGGTGCCTGGCGGGGGCACCGCCCAAAGCGTAGGGCCTTCACGTGGGAGCGCCGGCCGTGATAAGGGCCCCTGGCCTGCTGTCTGGGCCAGGTACTTGTTCCTGTTTGACAAGGTGGTCATCGTCTGCAAGAGGAAGGGCTACAGCTACGAGCTGAAGGAGGTCATCGAGCTGCTGTCCCACAAGATGACCGACGACCCCATGCACAACAAGGACATCAAGAAGGTGGGCTGCAGACTGCTCAGGGCCACCATGGCCACCAGGGCTGGGTCACACCAGGCAAGAGGCAGGCACAGGGTCCCAAACCCCAGGGAAGGGCTGCTGTTTGCTGGGGGTGGCCCCACCCTGCAGAGAGACCCCTCAGCCCTTGCCTTGTCATTGTGACTGCTGCAGATGGCACCCCACCTGGGGTCAGGGCTCCATCAGGACCTCAGTGCCCCGTGTGGGCCTGGGCAGAGCAGGAGGCCCTGTTCAAGGCCCCTAGTGAGAGCCTGTCTCTGAACCCTGGCTGGCCTGCCTGCAGCTCATGTTGTCCCTGTAGCACGCAGGGGTCCTCCCCATCCCCACCGCTGCCTGCGTGGGGGAAGGCTACGAGGGTTCTGATGAGTTTGCAGAGGCTCTGATGTCCAGCAGGCAGGGTCCTGGGCTGCAGGGTGGCCATGGCTGTAGGGTCCAGCCTGGGAACTGGGGCAGAGCTGCAGCCTCTGGTTCATTCTTGCTCCTGCCGAGGCTTCTGCACACAGTGCTTGAGCACCTACTGTGTGTGGCCCTGGGCCAGGAGTGAAGCCTGAAGCCAAACTGCTAAAAGTCCAGGCCCTAGCCGTCCGCACTTATAGTTGCTGACCCAGTGTGTCCCAGCCCCTCCCAACCCTGGTGTCTGGAGAAGGCAGTCGGGGCCACGGAGCATCAAGCCAAGGCCCGACCTAGAGCTGAGGCAGAGCCTGCACCTGCAGCGCATACATGCATGCGGCAGAGCCACTGGGGTCTCAGCCTCTGGTGCTGTCCCTGTTGTTCCGAGCCCTGCCCAGGGCCCCTTCCACCCCTCCTGGGCTGTGGGCTCCGGCCGCGGTGCCCACTGCAGGGCCGCCCAGGCCCCTGGTGACCCGTCTCCCCTTTGCTTTCCTTGCACGCTTCCTAGTCTCATGGGAAGATGGTAAGCTGCGGCCCCTTACCCCTCCCCGGCCCTCGCCCAGCCAGGCCTCGGCACTCCCACTGCCCCAGGCCAGGGCGGGGGCCTCTGGGGTCCCTCACCCAGCCTCTCGCTCTGTGCGTCTCTCCTCTCCCGCATCCTTGCTCCCTCCCTCCATCCTCCTCGCCCCCCCCACTCCCAACAAGCCCCCGCACTTCCCAGCTCTCCCCCAGACCCCTTTGAAGGCCCTTTCCCAGAGCTGGAGGGGCTGCTGGGCAGGTGAGGCCACTGAGCATGGCCCCGTGCAGCGGCCATCCCTGCCCTGCTTGCTTCTGCTCACTTCAGAGGGTTTTCAGTCATACTGAGGATCTGGGCAGGTGGACGGGCACCTGGGCCCAGGCTTCCTGGGGGCATCCTACCTTGCAGCAGTGGGAGGGGCAGGAAGAGGCCCCACGTGCCCCTGGGTGGCACAGCTCGCAGTAGGCATCCTTCACGTGGGCAGGCTCGGCACGTAGGGCCACCTGCACATGTGCACCTTGAGAGCCGCACACTTGGGCCCAGGCCCGGGCACATGCACCTGAGAGGAATGCCCAGCACACTTGTGCACCTGTGGCCCTGCAGGGGGCACTGCACACACAAGGGCACACACACACAAGATGCCACTGTGCCCTGGGCCCCGTGTGAACGCATCCCTGTCCACCGCAGTGGTCCTACGGCTTCTACCTGATTCACCTCCAAGGAAAGCAGGGCTTCCAGTTCTTCTGCAAGACGGAGGACATGAAGCGGAAGTGGATGGAGCAGTTTGAGATGGCCATGTGAGTGGGCGGCCGCTGGGCTCTTCCGTGGCCCCCGAGACTGGGGGTGGCAGGGGGCAGTTCAGGTGCCAGAGACTGAGACCAGCTCCTGACCATGAGGCCAGCCCTGCTCAGTGGCTCCTGGAGCAGGAGGGCCTTCCTGCTGCCATAGCATCCCAGGGCTGGGCCGTCCTGCTGGGACGGGCCTTGCCGTCCTCCAGGCTGAGCCGTGTACCCCTGACTAGCAGGCCGAAAATGGCCAGGAGCAGCTTAAAAGGGCCCACGAGGCTTGGCCTTTGAAAGCCCAGATCTACTTCCAGCCCGAGCCAGGAAGCAGCCCAATCCGCTGACCAGTGGCTCCCAGACAACTAGGTGGAAGGGGCGGGGCCTCAGCAGTGGGCCACTGCGATCAGAATAGCCAGCAGGAGCAGCAGTCTTGGTGGGGCTCCTGGCTTCAGAGGTCTCAGTCCATAGGTGGCCGACTCTGTTGCTCTGGGCCTAGTGGGCAGCACCTCGTGGGGAGGGGCCCAGTGTCGGGAAGCTGTCAGCTCAGGGCAGGTCAGGAGGCAGAGAGAGAGCACACACCCCCTGCCCATCATTGCCCAATCGGGCTGATCACACTAGGAAGGGTGGACGAGGTCGCAGCTCTCACAGTCCCTGGGTTCACCTCTGAACATTCCTACATGAACAGCAGCGTTCAGGGACACCTCCTGTCCACACCTTGACACTGCCTCCTGGGCTTTTCCACCTGGTGGAGGGAAGGGGCCGTGACTGGAGTGACAAGGAGGGCCTGGGGGCCCCTCTGGCAGCTGGATAAGGACCCAGCACACCAGGGTGGTGGCATCCTGCTGGCTTGTGTCCCAGCCAGGGCGTCTCATCTTCGTTTGCGTGGGTTGACATTTTGTCCCCAGGGTCCCCTGGTGAACTCTTCAGGTGTGTGCCTGGAGAGGCCCCTCCCACCACCAGGGAGCTGCCATCTAGGGCTCACTCCCTGGCCTCTCTGACTCGGTGGGCAGAGGTGGAAATGAGCTGAAGACCCGCGTGTGCCCCTGGTGTGCCCCCTGCTCATGATGAACTAGATTCCATGTTTGTTTAGGCTTTGAAATGTCCAACGTTTAGGCTTTGTACACACAGAGACGTGTACACTTCTGGGTGTCCAAGTCCCTGGGTACCCGGGAAACGCTGAATGCTGAGCGCTCTGTTCTTTCCTTTAAATACAGACCTGCGATAAAGTTCCACGATATGATTCAGGCACAGGAAGGGATGAGCGACAGCTAATAATAGCAATATGTTGTAATAAGTTAATGACGTTACTACTCTTGAGCTTTGGGTCCATTTTTTAGTGAAATAAGCAGTACTTGAACTCAAGTCCTGTAATACCATGACAGTCCATCTGATACCAGACAGCCCTTAAGTAACTAACAGGAGGGTAGTGCATTCCGTGTGGATACTCTGGGCCAAAGGATGGTTTAGGGTGAGATTTCATGTTGCTACTCAGAATGGAGTACATTGTAAATCCTAAGGATTGTTTCTAGATTTTCCAGTTAATATTTTTAGGCCACATTGACTGGTGGGTAACAAACCTCAGAAAGTGAAGCCACAGATGTGGAGGGCGGCTGCTGTATGCATTTGCTCTTTGACAGGTGCCTGCACCGCCCACTCCTAGGCCTTTTGAGACCTGAGTCTGCCCCTTCACCTGGGGTTTTCTTGTGCCAGTATGGCCTGACCTTAGGGCTTCCTTCCACCAGCCCTGCACCACAGCCCACCCGCCATCACACAGAGCCAGGCTGGAGTGCAGACCCCCAACATGGCTGCCAGCGCTGGCGTGGCCCACGGTGTGGGCTCAGGGCCTGGCGAGTGCCACTTTTGCCCCTCTCTCTGGTTCCTGCCAGGTCCAACATCAAGCCAGACAAAGCCAACGCCAACCACCACAGCTTCCAGATGTACACGTTCGACAGGACCACCAGCTGCAGAGCCTGCGGGATGTTCCTCAGGTGGGCCCTGCCCCACTCAAGCCCCAGGCCCACGGGCTCAGCACAGCAGCTCCCGCAGCCCACGGCCTCTCACCTCCCGCCACAGCCCACGCAAGACCCCAAGGAGCCAGGGGGTGTCCATGAGAGTCAGAGCCTGGGCCCTTGGAGTCTTGGATCTAGCCAGGCGGATTGTCCCTGGGCTCCAGGACCACTGTGGGGGTGGGGGTCCAGGCTGGGGGGACAGAGGGGACAGCAGGGGTCTCATGAGGCAGGGGTCCTGGATATCCCAGGCTCTGAGGGTCAGATGCTCCAGGGGAGCTGCCAGGCTAGGGGGTGAACAAAGGCCCTGACCACAGCTGAGCAGTCAAGGAGCCAGCACAGCCTCACCTCCCGCTCTCCCACGCAGGGGCACCTTCTACCAGGGTTACCTGTGCACCAGGTGTGGCGTGGGGGCACACAAGGAGTGCCTGGAGGTGATTCCCCCCTGCAGGATCAGTGAGTACCGACCCACACCCGGCTGCCTGGCTGCCTCTGCCTGAGCCCCAGGTCCTGTCTGCTCACAGCTGCCCTTTACCATTCTCTAGGAGGCCAAATGAGAATACCAAGGCTCAGACATGGCGAGACACTGCCCCAGGGTGCACAGTAATCAGGAGGCAGGATCTGGCTCCAAATGGGTACTAGAGGACTTTCCCTCCTTGTCCCCATTCCCTGTTAGAATCCAGGTGCCCTAGATGGTCAGAGAGCGCTCGCAGCAGGCTTGGGGGTCTGGTCATCCACACCTCTCATGGCCCTCCCCTGTCCCTGGGGTCTCCCACTGGGGAGGCCTGACGGAGATGGCCACTGTGTTGGTGACTGGCTCACAGGCACGCCCTTGGACATGCACACTGCCACCCGGTGCTTCTCGGATTATCAGATGGGGAAGCCTGAGGCTCAGGCTAAGGGCGGGGAGGCCGTGGGCCCTGGAGGCTCCTCCCTTGCGTCTTGGTTTGGACTTTTGCCGAGGGGTAGCCAGGCAGGGAGCAGCTGATTAAAGGGCCTCACGGAGGGCAGAGTCTAGGTGGGGGCCACAGTGAGGCATGGCCGAGGGCCTGGGCAGAGTGGCCCAGGGATGGCTCCCTGGACACAGCACCTGCTGAGTGCAAGCCCCCCACCCCGGCCTCAGCTGGGTGGCTCTTGTCCTCCCCACCCCTGGGGACTATGCCATGTCATGCTGCAAGTGACACACAGGAGCCATGCTCAGAGGAGGCAGGGCCCCCAGTGACGGTGGGATCCTCAGGCAGCCTACGGCCTACGGCTGCCCCTCCATGGTGGACCAGGCCCCTGGCTGTTGACGTGGGAGTGAGTCTGTTCTGTTGCCGTGCGTCCTGTCACTGTGACATGCAGGACAAGGCTAGGCCCAGTATCGTCACCCCATCATCAGCCCCCAGTCAGGCTGGAAACCATGCCTGCTGGTGGAGCCTCTGTCCAGAGGAGCATCCAGGGTCCCCAGTTCATGTCCCTGGGCCTGGGGTCTCGCTGATCCTCCTGGATCAGCAAGTCAGGCCAGCTTGTCACCCAAAGACCCGCTGCCCACAATGTACCAGAACCACAGTCCATCTGTCACTGAGTGTTGGCCTGGTACCCTGAGCCGGGAGGGTCGGCAGGTCACCCAAGCCCCTTGTCCCCACCACAGGCTGCTGCCCCCTGCAGCCCTGTTAGGCCCCTCTAGAGTCCCTGTGCGCTGGGCTGGACGCGGCCTTTCCCTTTGCTGTCAACACCGCCCCCTTGTGGCCATGTGCCCCTCACACCAGGCCACGGGCTGCGGCTACATCTGTTGTTTCTTTTTTAGTCTGAAAGTAGCATATTTAATTTTCAAAAACTCAGAGGGGGCAAAGGAGAAGAAAGGACGAAAATAAACATGGCCCTTGAACTTACCTAGAAATAGCTAAAGGCATAAAAATAAAGATATATATATATATAT